TCCAGAGGGTCCCAGCACCCAGGAAGAGGCAGGTGCAGTAGGGTCCTTCCCCTTAGCTCCACAAGCCTCACTCGGATGGGTACCCGATGCCGACCCTCCTGGCTGAGCTGAGCACTGCCTCTCTTGTCAGCTCTTGGGTAGTTCTCGGGCTCCTGCCTTCCCAAGTGGCACTGCCTTGGGCCATTTCTGACTTGATTATTTTCTAGGGGCCCACCTCTTACAGTGGAGTTACCCCCTCATGGGGCTCATCCAGTTTTACGGTTCTTGTTAAGGCTGCCTGGTGGGACTGATCCAGGAAGCTTATCCATGGGCATCTGACGTCTGAGTCTCCTACCAAACACATAAAGGCAGAAAAGATCTACTTACGTCATGGTTTACATTCTGTACAGATGTAAGCGATGTGGTCTGCGGCCCCTGAATCTATTAAGTGGTGGCAATTTTATTTGGTAGAAGGTCGTTCTTTTTACAGCTGTAACTCCCCGGAATAGACCATGCAAATGCCTGGGTAGCCCAGGACCTGAAGGGACAGTTCTTTCAAAGGCCTGGGATTCTTTTTCCTTTAGCCATGGCCCATACTGCCTGGGGACAATGCCCCCCAGCCCCCTTCTGGCACATGAACCTCCACTAGACAGCCCTTGGAGGTCACCTTCCTTCATCACAGGGCTTGGAGGAATGGTTGGTGTCCTGGCCTCTAGCTTCTGCCTCCAGCCCATCTATACATCAGTGTTCCCTAAGTGCATATGGTCATCACATCACTCCCTTGCTCAAGAACCTGCACTGGCTCCCTGCTGCCTGTCACATCAGGCACTGCTTGGCTTTTAAGGCCCTCTGTAGTCTGGCCTTGTCCTTCCTGTCCAGTCGATTTCCAAGACACCCCAAACACAACTTCTCTTCTCAAGACAAATGACTTTCTGAGCCCCGACGGTGGGGCGGAGTATGGGGGGGGAGTACGGGGGAGACCAAAGGTCGAAGGACACAGACTTTGTACCCTCTTAGGAAACGCAGAAGGCACGGCTTCCTACAGTGAGGAGAAACGGCTTCTCTCCAGGCCCAGCAGCCCCGAGCTGTGGCCGGAGTGGCCTGCCCCGACCTGCTCAGGTCTGAGCGTGCAGTCCCTGGGCTCTGACTCTGAATTTGCAGGGTGCTCAGGTCACCCCGCAGCTCCAGGTTCTTGCGGGCTCCACCCCCCAGGCCAGGCCTCCCTGGCCTCACAGGCTCTGCTTGCTACACACAGCTGCTGGGTGGGCAACGTGGTCTTTTCCTTTCACCTTCAGGCCGCCCCCTAACGTAGAGTTATCGGCAAGGGCTTTGGGATCAGTCGTGCTTAGATTTAACACTCCCACTTGCCAGCTGTGTGACCTCGGGCAAATTGCTGAACTTTCTGAGTTTTGGTTTCCTCATCTTTAAAAGAGGGGTAAGAATTTTTGACTGTTGTTGGTGTTTGTGTGTGGGGTGCAGGGATTAAATGACATGAAGTGACTAGCATTGGCTATTGTTATTGCTGTCCTCCTCATTGTCCCTCGGTCCTTGCATCCCCCTGGGGTAGTTCCAGCTCCGTCTTGTGGTCCACTGCCAGTGTTATCAACCTAAGTGTTTCTGGAGGTCCTGCAACAAGCCTCCTGCAGGACATTGAGCTGTTTTCCTCATTTGTTAGGAGGGCGGTGCAGGCCTCCCCCATCTCCCTCAGCCACTCCGGGCAGGGCTCCCAGCTTTTCATCTTTGTGTGCGAGGCTGTGGTCACAGATGCATGTAGAACAGAGTTTAACTCTGATGTGGAGACTTTGTGACCTTTTTAAGAAGTGTCATGTTCTTACACAGGTGGCATGGGTTGTGCCAGGCCTGGGTCAGACTGGGAGTGTGTGAATGGGGGGGGGCGGCCTGGAGAGGAGGCCAGAGGCTTCCCATCGGGCAGACCTTCGCTTTCCCAGTGGCTCAGGGACAGGGGCTATGCCTCATTCCCTCTGAGCTGCGACGCCAATGGTGGTTAGCAGAAAATTCACCCCAGCCCTCCACCATGGCCTCCCTGCATTCATTAGTGAACACAATATTTGCATACATTTGCATTCTCCTCAGAATAGGCACTGAACTAGGAATTCAGTGGGGCTTGTGGTCCAGCAGAGAGGAATGATTGTTTAATTACAGCAGTGAAGCACAGACGGAAGCTGGTGGTGAGCCAGAACCCACAGCCCCTGCGCCAGGGCCTGAGTCCCCACCAGCACGCTTGGAAGAGCAGGGCTTGAACCCAAATTCAACAGAGTGAGGCCAGACCTTTGCAGGAAAATAGGCCTTGTGTGGTCAACATGCTCCCCACAGTAGGACCTCTGCAAACACCCATTTCCCCTCCAGCCCTTTACCTCTCCGCACCCAGCTTGAGGAAGAGTCTCTTAAGCTCCATTTTTCAGATGCGTGAAGTGAGGCCTGGAGAAAGGAACGAGTTTGCTCTCTAGGTCCCCAGTCAGTAAGGAGAAGCCAAAGGCAGGTTTCCCAGCACCCCGCGTGGGCCTGCCCATGCCCCCACAGTCCACCCTCTGTGAGCCAAAGCACTAGACACAAAGCTTGCTCTGTTCACCGAGAATTCCATTTTCCCCATTGTTCTCCACCAGGGACATTCCTGAATTGGTAAAAAAGGGACTGCTTCAGCCTCAGGCCTGGCAGCGGGTCAGCTGGGAAAGTCAGGAGACAGAGGGACTAGGAGACAGACAATAGCGACCCAGGAACTGTGGTCAGGTCAAAGGAAGAGGGGCACCAGGGACCTAGATGGTCCAGAGGGACAGCCTCCTTGGAGAGGGCACAGCTGGAGCAAACAGGAGGCTGGCAGCCTTCTGTGGGCCCAGAGCATCTTGTGAGAGAGTCTGGGGGGTGTGGAGTAGGGGAGCTGGGGAAGGGGAGGTAGGGAGAGGGAGACTTAGGTGGGTAAGTAAAGGGGGAAGGGCGCTCCACTCAGAAAATGGTTTGAAGGGATTGAGACTAGTCAGCCATGGTGGCAGCATGGGCGGGTGGTGCTGCTGGGGTGGCCCTGACCCCCGGGGGATCCTGGGTCCTGGGAGCAGAGGATCTGGCCTTGTCCGGTGAGAGGATGGCTCGTTCTAACCTCTTCCAGGACCCACATCCCTTAGGAGGCTCAGAAAAGCAGAAAACCTTTCCCCTTAAATGCAAATGTCCACTTATATGCAACGTTTTTGAGTTAGTTTTACTTTTTCACTGTGCTAAAGTGCACACAGCACAAAAAGGACCATGTTTAGCCAGTTGAAGTACGCAGCCCTGGGACATTAAGCACATTCTGGGTGCTCTGTGACTGTGGCCCCGGCTGGTTTTCCAGAGCTTTTTCTTTCTCTCCAACAGAAACTCTGTGCCCCTGGAGCAGCTCCCCTTCCTTCCCCTCCCCAGCTCCCCCCTCTATTCCACTTCTGGTGTCTGGAATTTGCCTGTTCTAGGTACTTTTATACATTTACAATTTTTAGAGAACAGCTTCTTGGGGTGAAATGGACGTGCAGCAAACTGCCCAAAAGGGCACCACGTGCTGAGTTTTGAATGCACACACCATGACTCAGGTCATGACCGTATTCAGCACCACCCAAAGTGCCCTGGTGCCTTTGGAATTCCTCCCCACCCCCCACCTCGTACAGATCAGTTTGGGTTTTCTGGAGTTTCGTGTAAATGGAATCACCCAGCGTGTACTCTTTCTCATGAGAGGCCTGGTTCTTCTTGCTCTGCACACTTATTTGGAGCTTTGTGCGTGCCGTGGCGTCTACCAGTTGTGCATTCTTTCCATCACAGAGTGCTCTGCTGCCTGGCTCCACCATCCTTGTAAACCCACTGCCTGCTTGATGGACATTTTTGTGGTTTCCAGCTTTTGGTGCTAGTAAGTAGGAATACAGTGGATTTTTGTAGAGCAAGCTTGCATCCTGCAACCTTGCTGCTCTTGTTTATTAGCACATCTTGTTCCCAATTTTAGTTGGGGGCAGGGGGAGCATTCTGTTGTTCACCGTTTAGCTCTAAGTTTCTCCTAGATGCCTGTTTCCAGGTTGAGGAAATTCCCTTCTTTTTTTAAAATTAAAAAAAAATATCTTATTTAGTTTTAGAGAAAGGGAGGGATAGAAACATTGATGTGCAGTTGTCTCTCATGCACCCCCCAACTGGGGACCCTGCCCTCCATCCAGGCACGTGCCCTGACTGGGAATTGAACCAGTGACCCTTTGGTTTGCAGGCCAGTGCTCAATCGGCTGAGCTACACCAGCCAGGGCGAAATTTCCTTCTATTCCTAATTTGCTGGGGGTTTCTATCAGGGGTGGATGTTAACTTTTATCAGAGACAAAATCCGCATCTATTCAGGCAATCATAGGTTTTTCTTTTTTGGTGTGCTAACATGGGGAATTTACGACGATTTATTTTCAAATAAAGTCAACCCTTCTTTCCTGGTCCTGCATGGGATCGGATTAGAATGTGGGATTCAGTTTCCTCCGGAGTATACTGGCTCTTGTTCCCGACCAGATCCGGCTTGGGGCCCTGTCTTCCGGGTGGAGGGAGGGAGGGAGGGAGGGGCAAAGGGTAAAGGTAAGAAGGAGGGGCAAAGGGTAAAGGTAAGAAGGAGAGCGCAGCCGCAGCCCGGATCCGCCCCGGGGCAGCCCCGGTGAACCTCCCCACGGTGAGGAGTGCGGGTGCGGGTGCGGCGTCCTCTAGCCGGGAGACGCAGGCTTCGCCGTGCGTGTGCCCTTGTACCTCCTGGGGCCTTAGTCTCCGCTTCAGCTCAATGGGGCTGGTGGGGCCTGGGCCGGGCTGCGGCCAGTCTGCGTGCCCCACGAGGGCCTCCCTCTGAGAAATGAAGGTAATGAACCTTCCTCCCAGGACCGCTGTATTTGACAAGTCGCTTAAAGAGATGAGATGAAAGAGTCCAACCCCTGAGCACCGACCCCACCCCCCACCCCACTCCCATCCTACACAAGCCTTTTGACCTTCTGCCATTGGTTCAATCTCTCAGCCTTGTCTTCTTTCTTGTAAAGCAGAGATAATGAGACCACAGATGAGGAGATGGATTAAGTTGTTATCACTGCACAGGGGAGCGAGCAAGTGAGCGGCACATGTGAAATGCTGGGTAAAGTGCAGGCAGGCACCACACCGGTGCCCAGAGCCAGTGTGGCTGTGGTGGAAACCGCCCTGGAGCTGGAGGAGCTGCACAGGTGGCCAGGGGCAGAAATGCAGCAGCAGGGCCTGGAATCTGCCCTGCCCTGGGTGAAGTTGGTGGGCGTGTGAGGGGTGCTGCCTCCCAGGCGGGCACCACCACTGTGCTGCCCTCAGGTACCAGCCAGTGGGGAAGGGGGGCTCAGAGCTAGAGCCAGAATTGGAGCCCAGCTGACCCTGGTCATTGGGAGCCGTTTGCACCTTTCCAAAATGTACTGGTCTCTGCAGGACTGATGCTAACTCTGGCTGCACACTGTGTAGGAGCTTGGAAAGGGAGTTGAGAGAGGAGGGAAGAATCGGGAAGCTAGGGAAAGTCTCGGTGGGCTTGCTCCTTCCCCTTCCTGGCCTTGTGAGCGGTTTTCCTCCAGCTTCGCCAGCTGGGGAGCGTTTCGCTGACCTATTTCTCCTGCTCTGTTGGCACTGGTGCATCTGGCCCAAAGGTCCAACCCCTTCACTTGGATATTGCTCCCCAGATGTTATAGTTTCCTGTGTGCCAAGCCAGCCTGTGGCTTGGAGACAGTGATGAGGCCCTGCAAGGCTCTGTCCCCTGGAGGTTGTTCTTGTGGTGGTGGGGGGACAGCACACAGGTGAACACAATGAGGTTAATGTCCGAGCGGCCAGTGCCGGGCAGAAAGGCCACGGGGAGCGGCCAGGACTGACCTGGGGAGTCAGGAGGAGCAGTTGGGATTTATTCCAAGTGCGGATTCCAAGAGTTTCTGGAAATGAAGAATGGAATGTGATCTTACTTCACCGTCCGTTTTCGTGATTTTGGGAGCCTGTTGTTTAGAAGCACATTTGAGGGGTTCTCAGAACCGGAGGAAGGGCCAGTGTCCGCCAGGTCCCTCCTACCCCCTCGTACTGGTTTCCCAGCTGCCGTGCAGTCGCTGGCACTGCCACAAACAGCGAACCCCGGGTCCTTCTCCAGGGCACCTCGCCAGAGACACTGGAGAGGTTAACGCCACTCCACCCTCCCCCCCACCCAGGGGGCTGTTGACTGAGTCAGGGAGCTGAAAGTCCAGCCTCCTGGCCTCGGGTGAGAAGACTCTGTGGTGTGATTTTAAAATGCCTCCGACTGGCCCTTCCCTGTCCCCCCTCGCTTCACTCCCTCACGGCTTTCTCCTGACACCGAACGCCTGTCCCAGGCTCTGATTCTGGGGAAGCCATTTCCAGACAGAAACGTGCATTCTGTGGTTTAGAAGTTGAGGTTCTGGGATGAGAGAATTGTTCCTTCCAGCTCTGAATTCCCTAAAACTGTGTGATTTACTGGACCACACAGCAAATTAGTGGTGGAGCCAGGCCCACAAGGCAGTCGCAGCCTGAAGACACCAGGGTCGCTGTGGTTTACCAGCCGCTGGGCTCCCACATCAGCTTCTCAGGTAAGAACCCCCCCCCCCCCCCCCCCCCCGGGCTGTAGTCATTGCAGAGACCAGTGTCCGGGACTCTGCTCCCTCCCCTCTGTACTGGCGTAGTGCACACTGAAGTGTGGAGAGTGGCAGCTCAGAGACTTTTCAGTGCATCTTGAAAAGAAGTTCCTGCAAGTACATTTTCTAATTCAACGGACCTTTTGTCAGGATGATAAAGTGAGTTGAAATGCACACAGTGCAGCCCTGTTTTTGAGGTCATGAAGGAGCCATCAGCAGACTCCCCAGCTTTCCCGAGGAACAACGTCCCCACCCCCGGTTCTGCGTCCCCTCCCCCTCCTCTGCCCACAGTCAGACCACAGGTGTTGAGAAACGCACAGGTGTCTTCCTGAGGTTCCCACAGCAGGGCCTGTCAGAGGTGTGAGTCACTGGAGGGGAAGCTGACTCATCTAAAAAATAATAATCTTGCCAGAAGTGCATTGTTTTAAAAGAACAAACGGATGGTTTGAGCTAAGCTACCTAATGGCTTATTTGGTAGCTTAGAATAATGGCCATTCTGAGAAATGGCTTATTTCTCAGAAGAGCGAAGAACTATGTTTGATTTAATAAATCTTCCCACTATTTCCAAAGGGTCAGCATCACTCACTGGCTCAGGAAGGTTTGTGGTGTTCATCTGGGGCAGTGGGGAGGTGTTCCTGGGGAGTGGTGGCCACCCTCAGGTGGCTTCACCCCACCTGTAACCTCGCTGTCGAGTGGCCCTGGGCAGGTTATTTACTTTGTCTCAGGCACAGTTTCCTCCTCTGTAAAATGAATGGGATTGGATACTCCAGAAGCTTGTGGTCTACAGATCAGTAGCATCTGCAACATGGGGGGGTGGCGGGGGGTGGGGGGGAGCTTGTCGGAAATGCACACTCCCAGGCCTCACACGGGACTTCCTGAGTCAGAACCTGTTTTAACAAGATCCCCTGGCCCTCCGTGTGCTCATCACAGTGCCAGGAACGCCGCTGTGGACTAGACTACTCAAATGTGGTCCTTAAACCGGTATGTCAGCATCACCTGGGAGAAGAAGCTCAAGCTCGATAGAAATTCATGTTAATGGACCCCCCTCCCCCCACCCCCACTGAATCCTGTGGCTAAGGGAGGGGCCTGGGAGCTTGGGCTTTAACCGCCTCGCCAGGTGGTTGCTAAGCAACACTGACCTGTGAGAAGCACCAAACACGGTTCTGTCTGGGGCTTGGCTGTGGGCAGTTGTTGCAGGAAGAGTTTGTTCTGTGCTGCATTGTGACTTTCTGAAACGCTCACAGGCCAGCAGTTTATAGCAATTCTGTGCTGTCGTTTTGGCCTTATCTTTGCTCTGCCATAGATAAAGCTGGTGTTTAAGGGAGCTTGAGTGAGTTGCCCAGAGTCTTACTGTCTGTCTCACAACGTTTGCGTTGCTATATTAGCGTGAGATGTTTTTGGCCAAGTCAGTGGCTGTTACAGGGCAATAAAACTTCTTGTAAATGTTTCACATTACCTGTTTATAAATGACAGGCTCTTGGAGCGAGAGCTGGGGTAGATCTGGTGGGTCTAGGCTTAATCAGCTCTTCCTGTTCACTGTTTACTGTTTAGATTAGATAATACAATCATCTGGTTTAAACATCCTGTAAAAAGTAAAAAGGGACCTAGTTTATACCCGCCCACTACCGTCCTGCCGCAGGCAAATGTTTTTAGTTTGCTGGGTCTAACCCAATCAGTGCTGGTCCCTGGGAAAGCTGCAGGTCTCCTGATGTGCGGCTGCCCTCTGGACTCGAAGTTACATGCATTCTTCCAGTTCTCTTTGTTACCCTGACATAAAGTCCATCACGTTACAGGTTTATTTAGGTTAACAAGCATCCTTTTTTTTTAAGGATGCACCATCTCTGAGAGGTTCTCAACTGCCAAACTTTCACACTTTAGTGTGCTTTATTCCAACACAGGGGTTTTTTTTTATGCATATACAAGCAAATACAATTATATATATACATTGTACAAATATATATATATTTACCACCTCTGCTGAACTCATTTTACAAAATCGAGTACAGGACCCTGTTCTGCGTTTGTTTCACTGAATGCATCATGCTGGGTTACTGTGCTGCAAACGCTCGGGTTGGTTCCAGTTTGCTGACACAGACACTGTTAGTACCTGTGGCAGTTTGCACGTTGCTGCGTATCTGCAAGTGTAATTTTGAGAGAGATTGCCAATTTGCCCCTCCTAAGGTTAGTGCCAATTTACACCTCTGCCAGTTTTGAATGAGAAACTAAGATGTTTCCCACATCTTAGCCAATGCATTAAAATTGTCACATTACTGGATTTTTACCAATCTGATAGGTGAAAAACAGCGACTCGATTGACTCTTAATTTAAATTTGTTATGAAAAGTTTTAAACGTATAATATGTTTAAAAGGACCATTTCTCTCTCTCTCTTTCTCTTACTGTCTCACTCATGTTCTTTGCTTATTTTGAAAATTGGCTTGTTACCTTTTTATTTCTGGGAGCTGTTTATTGATCGGGGAGATGAGCTTTTTGCCTCTGATGTAAGTTGCCTCCAGCTTGGAGTCTCTGTTTAACTTTGAGGACAGCCTGTTTGCTCCATGTGCCCAAGTTCTTATTTTTTCGCAGTCAGATTGGTCAGTCACTGCTTGTGTGGCTTCTGAATGTTGAATCATAGGTACAGAGTTCATCCCCACTTCAAGGTAGTAGGACATAACCTTTTTTTCCTTCTATTATTTTACATTAAAATTTTGATCCATTTGGAATTCATTCCAATGCTGTGGAATAGAGATCCTCCCTGCACCTCCCCCCACCCCCTGCCTCCCAAGCTGGTGATCTTTGCCCTGCTGAAGCTACTGTATCATTAGCTGGTTATCACAGGCTCTTTTCTCATGTGTATGTAGGTCTGTTTCAGAATTTGCTCCTCTTTTCCATTGGTTCCTCTGTCGGTTCACGTTTCTTCACATTCCCACTGTTTTGCTTACTAAGCTTTACAATATTTAAAAATGATTTTTAGTGTACGAAAATGCTGCTTTCTTATTTTTAGATCTTTCCCAGGCTATGCTTTTTTGTTTGTTCTTCTATTTGAACTTTAAAATTGAATGTCTAATTACACCCAGGTTGGTGTTTTATTGAAATTGCTTTAATAAAAACTGAAGGATAACACAGTTACAGAAAAGTGAATAAATTGTATGCGCACAACTTGGCAAGTTATCACAATGTGAACACAGAGGAAAATGCATTGTTACCTAGACCGGGAACTAGAACACTGCCAGAGCACAGAAGTACACCCCCCAGCCAAGACCCCCGTTGCTCCCCCAGCCTCTTGCAAAAGGTAATCGTTATCTTTGTCTCTTATGTCCTGGATTAGTTTTGCTGTTTTTGTTTATGTCTTTTACTTTACATACTCATACATGGATGCTTTTACATCTGGCTACTTTAGTTAAAAATTAAATATGTTTTTAAAATTATTTAGTTTTTAACTACAGCTGGCATACAATATTATATTAGTTTCAGGTGTACAACCTAGTGACTAACATTTAGGTAACTTACGAAGGGATCACCCCCATAAATCCAGCACCCATCTGCCACCCTACAGAGTTTTTACAGTATAACCGACTGTATTCCCTGTGCTGCACTCTACATCCCTGGCACTGTTCTGTAACAAGCCTTTTGTACTTCCGAATCCCTCCACCTTTTTCACCCAGCCCCCAGTCTGGCAACCGTTGACATGTTCTCTGTGCCTGAGTCTCTTTCTGCTCTGCTTCTTGGTTTGCTGTTTGGATTCCACATGTAAGTGAAATCGTCTGGCATTTGTCTTCCTCTGTCTGACCTACTTCACTCAGCACAGTACCCTCTAGGTCCATCCATTTGCAGATGGCAAGATTTCAGTCTTTTTTTTTTCTTTTCTGGCTGAGTCATGTTTCATTGTTTCTATGTCACCAGTTCTTTGGCTCAACATTATATTTATGAGGTTTATTTAGCTATTCTCTTGTTGATGTACATTTAAGCTGTACTGGTTTTGGCTGTCACATGTGTCTCTTGATGCCCATACGTACGCATTCCTGTTGGATATTTACTTGCGAGAGGAATTTCTGGTCCATGGGGTGTGCATGTGTTTGACTTTGGAAAAATACTGCCAAACTGTTTCCTGTAGGGGTGTTTAACATTTACCCTCCTTCCAGGAATGTCTGAGAACTTCCGTTATTCCCTCTTCTTGCAATGCTTGGTTGTGTTGGCTTTTTTTAAAAAAATAATTTATTTATTTTTAAAGAGAGGGGAAGGGAAGTAGAAAGAGAGGAAGAGAAACATCAGTGTGTGGCTGCCTCTCGTGTGTCCCCCAATGGGGGACATGGCCTGCAACCCAGGCATGTGCCCTGACTGGGAATTGAACTGGCAACCCTTTGGTTCGCATCCTGCACTCAATCCACTGAGCTACACCAGCCAGGATGTTTTGTTGGCTTTTAACATTTTTATTTTTCACTTCTCTAGTGACTAGTGAGGTTTAGTGCTTTGCAAAATATATATGTATTGGCTATTTAAATATCCTCTTTTGCGAAATGTGTTGGGATTGCTTTAAATTTACACATTAGCTTCAGAACATGGACATACTTATAATGTCAAATCTTCTTATCCAGGAACATGGTATGTCTTTCCCTTCGTTTAAATCTATTTTGTTTTTTTAGTATTGCTTGTAGTTTCTTATAATATAGCTTGCATATTTTTTGATAAGCTTATTCATAGATGTTTGATCTTTTTTTCTAACTGGCTATTGTTTGTAGTTATTTCATAGTTGATTCTCTTAGATGTGCAAGTCTTGTAATTGTATCAAGTATAAATGGAAATAACTTACCTCCTTCCATCCAGTTCTTTATTTTTATTGAGATATAATTGACATATGACATTATATTGGTTTTAGGTATACAACATAATGATTTCATATATGTACTGTGAAATGATCACTATGATAAGTTTAGTTAATATCCATCAGCACCCAGTT